AAATACGATTGCAATAACTTGAGAGAACTAGCCGTAAATCCAAAACAGCTTAGCTTATTTAATAAAGTATAATGATCTATTGAGTCAAAAGCGTTAGAAAAATCAGTATAAATAACATCGACTTGATTATTATTTCTGTCTAATTCTTGCGAGATAAACTGTGTAGTTACTGCTAAATTGGTAATTGTTGACCGACCTGGTAGAAATCCATGTTGGTGAATGGAGAGATGACTTTTAATATTATAATAGATATTTCGATAAATGAGAATTTCGAATATTTTGGCGAAGTTAGAAAGATAGGAACAATTCTCGCTATCTTCCATTTATCTGAAAATGTTGCTGACTTAATGGCTAGGTTAATGATAATAGCAATAGGTTTAGCAAGAATAAATCGGGTATCATGAATCAAGAAACTAGGAACGAGATCATCTCCGTATCATCTAGTATTACCGTCGATCGGCGTGACAACAGGTTTGCATTCGGACATGCCGAATCGGTGAAGTACTTCCTTCACGTAACCACGCTGGTGCATCCCGATCTTGCCCTCACCTTAGGTAAACTCTATTCCCAAGCAGTAGCTCGCCTCACCAAGATCCTTAATCTCGAACTCCTCGACCAATAACTTCCCGTGATTGGAAATTCTCTTGACATGTGTGGACGCAATCAAGATATCGTCGACGTAAGTTGCGATCATCGTTACGTCTTCTCCAGAACCTATCTGAAATAAACAGGGGTCTGAGTTTGTGGGAGTCGCTCCGCAACTTCTGAGCACTTGGTCTAACTCAAAGTGCCAACTCCTTCCTGCTTGGCGTAGCCCGTAAAGCGACTTTCTTAGTAAACAGACCTTATTTCCCGTTCGGAACTCGCGTAGTATATCAATTGCTTTTCTACCGATTACGCTGTTCCCCTCGGAGTCAATGACGCTTTGCAAAATTTTGTCGAACGACTTCGGTACCACCATATGAACCTCTTCTTCCAAATCGCCGTTCAGATACGCTGTCGCTATGTCGAACTGCCTGATTTTCTTGTTATAACGAGCCGCTATAGAGGCCATTAAACGAATGGAACTAAACCGTGCTACTGGTGCGAATGTTTCTGAGAAATGGATGCCCGGCTGTTGACCGCACCCCTGCGCCACCAGTCTCGCTTTTCTTTTCTCGACTGTGCTATCTGAGTTCAGTTTATTACGCAGCACCATCCGACAGCCAATTACTCTCCCTTGTCCTGGTCGATTTACCAATACCCATGTATCATTCTTGAGGATTGATTTCATCTCGTCCACAATCGCTTGATGCCACTCGTTTGCGTCGGGGCTCGTCATCGCTTCTTTCATCGGAATCTCTGAAATAAATGTCTCCTCTGTAGCCTCAACTCTCTGAATCAAACTTACGGTATCGGCTCGGTACTGTTTTTTAGGTCTCCCCCTAGAACCGGTTCTTATTATTCTGGGTCTGCCCCGACCTCTAGCTTGATGCTCGAAGGTGCTCGTACTAGGGAGCTCATCTTCACCCTCGCTAGCGTCTTCGCCTTCGCTGTCGTCACTTCCTGACGCAGTTTCGATATTCTGGTGATCGTGAGCTTCTTCCTCATCTTCTTCCACCACATTGTCGCTCTGATGCGAGTTACTCGGCCCTGGCTGATGGATGTCTTCATTCCGTGGGCTACGGCGTGATGATGTCAACGAACTGCTGATGGTCCCCTTGCTGGTGGTTTTCCGAGGAGGGATTACCTGAATTCTCTCTGTCGCTCTGTAGGTGACAGCCCACCTCCTCGAGGAATTTGACGTCGCGACTGATCATCACCTTTCCTTTGTCGTGCGACCAAATGCGGTAGGCTTTGGATTCTTCCGAATAACCAACAAAAGTTCGCTCTTGACCGCGCTCGTCCCGCTTGTTCCTGCCTGGTTCTCGGTTGAGGTACATGACCCGGCATCCGAACACCCTTAAATGAGACATATCAGATACCTTATCCGTCCACACTTCATACGGTGTTCGCCCGTTCAAACTTTTGGTAGGTAGCCTGTTGCGCCTCGGCCCAAAACTTTTTCGGCAGATTGGCTTCTGCCAACAGACATCTCGCGGCGTCCAACAGGGTGCGGTTTTTTCTCTCAGCTGTTCCATTTTGCTCTGGATTGTAGGGTGCTGTGAGCCTTCGAGTAATTCCCTTCTGCTTCAAATATGTCTCGAAATCGTAACTTGTATATTCGCCGCCTTTGTCGGATTGCAACGCCTTTACCGTCTTGCCCTTCTGGTTCTCGATAAGGGCGATGTATTCTTTGGTCGCCTGGAACACCTCACTTTTCGTTCTCAAGAATCTCACCTCGGACCACCTGGAGTGGTCGTCTATAAATTCGATTCTACCTGCATAGGCCCACACACGTCGGTGTGTATCAGGTCGAGCGTTTCCGTCTTCCTGAACGACTTTTTCGGAAACGGGGTCCTCGACATCTTCCCCCTTAGGCATACGTCACAGTCTAACGTCAAGGTAGAGTTTTCGAGTCCTACTCCCGCCAAGAAGTTCTTTCGCACTGCATCCGAGATATCCTTCATGTTTGCGTGGCCTAACCGCCTATGCCACAGACGAGACGAATGCGCGTTTTGTCGCGAGTCGACCGTCATCGCGCATGCAACGGGCTTGGGTTGTTGCTGTTACGAAAAAAAGCCAAGTATGAAAAAGATGTGAAAAGATACTTCAACAAAGTTTGCGAATTTCAGAGACTATTGGCAGAACGAAAAACGCAACTCGCGGAAGTGAACAAAAAACTTATCCACTGTGAAAGTAGTGCGAAAGGGGTGAAAGAATTAATGAACAAAATAAATTTAGTGTAATAATAGCAGGTAGTAGTAGTTGTTGTAGTAGTGATAATTATGTATATAGTAGTAGTATAAAATTTTGCTTTGTAGAATTAATTGTGTGTAGGCCAGTAGTTTAGACAATTAGATGTTTGTAGCAGTAATGTAGATATTGGTAGTAGTAGTAGTTGTAATAGTAGTGCTCGTAGTAGTAGTCGTAGTATTATATCATTAATAAATTATATGAATATCCTATTTCGCTTTTTTTTCCTTTGTCCTTCATGTTAGGCTTATTCGAATCCTCTTTAGATGGTCTATTTTTTGACCTGAAAAATGTTTTACGTAGCGACCTAAAAAAAACTAAAAATGGCTCCTGTGCCTAGACCGATGTGGACAGAACTGATTTTTTGGGGCAAACTTATCAGGTCGTTCGAGACAAAGGTTTTGATGTATACAACCGATACCCTAGCTCTTACCGTTTGGGCACTAGAAACTTTTGCCCTTTTCTCTCAATTTCAACTTTTTTCGAAATTTTTTTTGCTCAACGTGTGTCTTAATTTTTTTAGCTTTTTTCCGTTCCCTTGTACCGACATGCTACCTCTTACCCCTTAGGAGCTATAAGGTTTTTTCGTTATTACTACTAAACGGTAGATCAAAAAAAACTTTTTTTGCTACGTAGACCTATAGACCGTTCATTCGGAAATATTTTGGTACAAAAATATATTTTTTAAGTTTTACTATTTGGGCGCCACAAACTTTTGCCCTTTTCACAGTAATGTCAAAAGTTAGCGAAAAACCGTCGACGGCAGTCGATGTAATTTGTTTTTGTCAATCTTTTTTTGCCCTATATACGAACCTTCTATCTCTTACCATTTTCGAGTAACAAAAATTTTTTCTATTTAAACGGTAGATACACCTATGAGTTATAATCATTTTTACACACGATTAGATAGTACTTCATGAATATGCATTTGTTTTTGTGGAAAAACAAACTTTTCACAATTTCGATTTTTTTTTTGAGATTTTTTTGTTTTAATTTTTCTTTGGATTCTTTGAATTTTTTATTTTTTTTTTTTCACCAAAACTTCTAATTTACTTTCCTACTGCTCAAGGAAAACTTTTTTTCGAATTTTGACAACCTTTTTTGACAAAAATTGTTGCGCCCCAAACTCAAATTTTCACATATTTAATTATATGGACCTATCGATTATTCATCCGAAAATAATTTGACACAAAAAACAAAATTTTAACTAATTCCGTTTGGTCACCACAAACTTTTGCCCTTTTCTCCGAAATACTCGACTCAAACTAAAAACCGTCAAGATACATGCATGTGTTCCGGATTTTAAAAACTTTTTTGTTCTTTGCACGAACCTCCTATCTCTTACTGTTTTCGAGTTAAACATTTTTTTTATATTTAAACAATTATTACACCCCTTACCCTCATTTATTTTTACACAAATTGTGTCATTAGTTTCTAGAGATGCGTTTTTTTTTTTGTAAACAAACTTTCTGCTTTTTGGCACCCTGAAGCGATAATTCCTTATTTTTAAATATTTCCGAATACGTCCCTGTCTAATGAGATAATAACGTGTGGTTCCGAAAGAATCTACTGATGCGAAAGAATATTGTTATAATGACGGACGACGACGCCTTTCGGTTTACAAATTTTACCGTGGAAATATTCGTAATTATATCGGAAAATAGGTGGTTTTGTTGCTTTGTTTTGGACACTAAATGGTGTTTTTTGTGATATGTGTGTATATGCATGTTTTCGAGAAAGAACGGATAATTTTACTGTTTGTTTTCGACGATGTAAGTGACATTTTTTAATTTTAAACAACACACACTCGCCTTCCGACATTTGATATTTTATTCTAATAATTACGGACGTGTTTCGCATCATTATTTTTATGCTAGATTGTTCCGTAATTATTTGTAATGTACAAGATTCCGAGTGCAAATAAGCTTAAATCGACAGAAACTTGCTTCGGACAGCTGAAATTTTATTTTAAATTATTACTGGCGTGGTTCGGTTTATTATTTGTCGTTTGGGTAAAAGTTTATGTAGTCTGGGCCTATTTTCGACCCAAAACAAATAATTTTTTTGTCTGTTATGAATAACCTAAGTGTTTCATTTGTTAATAGAAAGAGGCTTGTTTTAATTATAACTTTAATAAACTAAACATGTGTAACATTCTACAAGTACCAAAATACACAGTCCATTAATGTTGGTCATTGCCAACTTAACTAATTCTCACTAAATGGCAGGGATGCCAATAACACTTGTAACACCCCCCTCACTAAGATTACAAAACTATTTGAAGGTTGAAGGAACACTGTACACTTCATAATCTTTGTATTTGGATGGCATATTTCTATTTCTGTGAGGTCGACTTACAGGTTCCTTACCTGCACATACATTTACATCATTATTAATTTTTGTTGGGGATGACACAGTTTTAAAAGGGGTCGAATTATTCATACTAGGGGTACATGTCTCATTTTCAGAATCAGAAATTGGATCGACAACATTACCACGCGGAACAAACTCCTTTTTCGATTCACGAAGGTGACGTCTATTTCTCCTAAACACTTGACCTTGCTCAGTTTTTACAATATAAGACCGCGGTGTGTCGTACTTATCTTCTACTTTTCCCTTTTCCCAATTGTTATGATTCTTTACATACACATTTTGACCCGGTTCAAATGAAGACAATGTTTTTGCACTTCTATTATAGTACTTTTTTTGATTTATCTGACTAGATTTTAATTTATCATGTACATATTTCGGGTTTATATTTTCAGTATTTAATAATTTGTTATTGACAGGTAATTTTGATCTTAAACGTCTATTATTTAGTAACTGACTTGGTGAAAATCCTAAATTTACAATTGGTGTTGTCCTATACTCTAACAGTGCTAAGTCTATATCAGTATTTTTTCGAAACAAATTTTTTACTATTCCTACACCTTTCTCAGCTAGTCCGTTAGATTGCGGATAATTTGGGCTAGTAGTAATGACTTTAAAATTCCACTGATTCGCGAAATTTCTGAAATTAAAGCTGTTAAATGGCATATTATCTGCAATAAGGACTTCAGGAATACCTTGTCGTGAAAAAATTTCTTTAAAATGCTTGATTAACTCATGAGAATCTTTATATTTCAACTTTTTCAATTCAATCCATTTACTATATGAGTCAATCACAACAAGATACTTATTACCAGCATAATAAGCTATATCAGCTGAAATTCGAAACCATGGTCGCGTTGGACATTCATACGACATAAGAGGTTCCTTTTGCGGATTTCTATTAAACTTCTCACACATTTCACAGCCTGATATATATTCATATATGTCTTTACACATGCCTAACCAATACAATACTTCTCTAGCTCTAGCTTTGGTTTTTTCTATACCTAGATGGGTTTCGTGTAAAATTTTTAACATATAACTTTGTAACGATTGAGGAACTACAATTCGTTCATTAAAATATATAATACCATTATTAACTGTAATGTCATGTTTAATTTTCCAAAAATGTTTAACTACCTTTGAATATTGTTTAACATTATTAGGCCAACCATGTTCATAAAAATCTAAAATTTGTTTTAGATCTTGATCATTTTTTGTTTCTTCTTTAATTTGGTTCTGCTTTCCATCTGAAATTACAATTTCCTTTTGTAGTGTGTGAACTGTAAAATCTACACTATCAGGTTCTATCTCATTTAAAAACGATCTGGATAAATAATCTGCAACAAACATTTGTGAACCCTGCAAATATTCAACAGTTATTTCGTATTTGAGCATTTGTAATCGCATGCGTTGTAGCCTAGCAGAAATTTGGTTTATTCCTTTTTTGAAAATTGACTCTAATGGTTTGTGATCAGAATTAACAATAACATGTCTACCATAGGTATAATAATGAAATTTTTTACAAGCAAATTCAATAGCATACATTTCCTTTTCAATTTGTGCCCAATTTTGTTTGTTAGAACTTAAAGCTGCAGATGCAAATGCTATGGGCTGATTATTGGACAATAAAACTGCACCTACTCCATCTTTTGAGGCATCAGTTTGTATTTTTAGTTGTTGATTACTAGTAAATATACCTAATGTTGGTGGTTTGGCTATAATAGCTTTTAGTTTATTGAAACTTTCTGTGTGAATTTTATCCCATTGAAATGGTGTATTTTCTTTAGTTAATTCACGCAATGGAGCTGAAATTTGGGACATATTCGGTATGAATTTACTTAGATACTTAAGCATACCAAGAAATTTTAACAAATGTTTTTTGTCTTTAGGAATTTGAAGCTCAGTAATTGCTTTAGTGAATTTTGAATCCATTGCTACACTATTTTTACTAATAATGTGACCACAATAACGAATAGTTTTTACTTTAAATTGAACTTTGGTTGAATTTAATTTAACATTGTTTTGAGCTGCTCTATTTAAAAACAATTGCAAATTACGATCATGCGCTCTTTCATCTTCACCTGAGATTATAATGTCATCAAAGTACACGTGTACTCCTGGGATATCTCCAAACATTTCTTCATTTTTCTTTTGGAATACCTCTGGACTGGATTTTAGACCAAATGGAAGACGATTGAATTTATATCGACCAAAAGGTGTATTGAACGTACATAACTCGGAGCTTTCTTCATCCAAAACAATTTGCCAAAACCCTTGACACATGTCGAAAACGGAAAAATATTCTTTGTTGCTTAGTTGTGCAATGATGGTTTCCGGTGTTTGAATTTGATATATTTCCCTCTGAATTGCAGTGTTCAGATCTTTTGGATCAAGGCACAGGCGTAGTTCACCATTTGGTTTCTCGATGATTACCAAATTATTCACCCATTTCGTTGGTTTGCTGACTTTGCTGACGATTCCTTCTTTGCTGAATTTTTCCAAAGTTGTTTTCAATCTTGTATGTAGACTTAAAGGGACCAGTCTTGGTGGATTAATTACTGGCTTGACTTCTGAGCTTACAGTGATGTGATGTGTTCCTGGAATTTTTCCAATGCCATTGAAGATTGATTTGTATTTTTCAGTAACCATTTCCATTGTTAACTCGTGAATGTACTTCTGTGGCTCATTTACTTTGGTTGATCTGGAAATTAATTGCAATTTTAGACAATCTTGTAACCCAAGAATAGCACCAGAACTAGGGTTAACGACGACGAAATTAACTTCTGCTATTTGATTTCCAACTTTCAGTTTCAGTGTCACTTGTCCCACTGGAGTAATTTTGAAGTTTTTATTTCCATACGCTACTAGTGTGACATTTGTAGGCTGCAATTTCTTCTTCGTGTTTAGTGATTTGAAGTCATTATACGGAAGTACTGATACTTGAGCACCAGTGTCAATTTTGCAATTTAATTTTTGACCTTGAATTTCCACCTCTTCGTACCAAGTGTTTTCTTCCGCAGTGATTCCATCAATCTTAATATTTAGAATTTGCAAACTACTCATATTAACCTCCTCATTCTCCACCTCATGGACGCTGCAGTTGCTGTTGGTTTTACTTCTGCATACTTTGGCGAAGTGGTTCGGTTTCTTACATTTCCTACATTTTTGATTGAACGCTGGACATTGGTTTACTGGGTGACTGACTTGTCCACAATTTCTACAGTTATTAATTATTTTCGTAGTTGGTTTCCCAGTTTTCATCTGCTTCATTGGTTGTTTTTTTATTGTTGATCGCTGACACATTTGCCATAGGATGCTGATTTCCCTTGGCAAACTCGTTGATTTGGAATTTACTTATTTCGGCACTTCTGCACTTTTCTAGTGTTTTCTCTAACGTAATATCTTTTTCGTTAATTAGTTGTTCCTGTAGACGTGTTTCTCTTACGTTGAATATAATTTGATCTCTAATTATGGAGTCTTGTTGGTTTCCATACTCACATTTCATCGCTGCATTTTTTAATTCAGTTACGTAGGCATCAAAGCTCTGCCCTTCCTTTTGTCTTATTTTCAGGAAACAGTACCTCTCGTAGATCACATTTCTTCTCGGTTTGCAATGGTCTCCGAACTTATTTAAAACAATTGCGAGAGTTAAGTCGGCTTGCTCACCTAATTTATAGGAATTGTAAATTTTTACTCCTTCTTCCCCTACTACGTTGAGAAAGATCGCTATTTTCCTTTTTTCTGTCTCGTCCTCTTTCGAAATTGCCATTAGAAAAAGTTCAAATTGTTGTTTCCATAAATCCCATTTGAACGATACGTTTGTTGAAAAATCCAACTCTGGGGGCCTTCGAAACATTCCCATTTCTTGTGCCATGTTAGTATTTATTGTTACTTTCTTCAGATGACTTGGATTTTTGTGAATTTGCAGTATTTGAATTTGCACGTGGTTATCATAACCTCAATTCGGGAACTTGCACTTACGATACATCCATCTGTTGTATTTGTTTAGGTGGCTGATCGTTTTCCTAATAATCCATTATTATTAACCCCACACCTGACACCATGTTTCGTTTGTTAATAGAAAGAGGCTTGTTTTAATTATAACTTTAATAAACTAAACATGTGTAACATTCTACAAGTACCAAAATACACAGTCCATTAATGTTGGTCATTGCCAACTTAACTAATTCTCACTAAATGACAGGGATGCCAATAACACTTGTAACACTAAGTGACCATTTATTTATTACGAAAATAAACGGAATTTTGTCGGAAGAAACACGGCTTTTATTCGTGACGGTTAATCGCAATTAAATAATTTTATATGGGACTGGTGAAAATAACACACCAAACGAAATAAACAATATTTATTACAACATAATAATATAATTTGAATTATTCCAATTTTCGAAGAAGTTATTTAATTGATTTTCTTTGTTAAATAATTTTCAATTGTGAATCTAACTTTTCGATTGTTTCTCTAAATTTTCGCTTCTTCTCCATCATTTTTTCGATTGACGGTTTTATTAGTATTTTCAAACGTTCCACATTCATTTGAAATCTTCTAACATCATATAACCAAGTAGGTTGTTTAATTGCTTCATGAAGTGAGAAACATTTCATTTTGTTTTGTGTTAAATATTTTTGGAAATAAAATTTTACAGAGCAGTGATAAAAATTGGTTTAGCTATATAGATGTGTTTAAATATTATAGGTCTGTAGGAGACAGGTTTGATTTAGGAAAATCTTCGTTATCGGCGTGTTTTGTACGTGTCATAAGTGCTCTCTGTAGTTTATCACAAAGAGTAATTTGTTGGCCCCCTGGTAACAGATAACGAGTACATTATTGGTGATAAATAGAGAGCGGATTTCTGTCGGGCTAGACAAGGCCAAACTCGGTACGGCTCGTACGGGATGGGAATTCATTGCAGTTACCGGCTGCACTTCGTTTATTTGAGATTAGAATAACGCTGCTTCGTTGCACTCTGCTGTTAATTCCAGTTCTCATTTAGTTAGCCGTTTGATTAATAAATCGTTAATTGTATTTATGCAATCAAGTGACAATTAAATTCAGTGATTACCTATCACCCGCTACTGAGTCCCGGCGATGCAGCGCGTCCCCACTAAAATCGTGACGTAGCCCGACAGAAATCCGCTGTCTAGTGATAAAGCTTATCCATGTCTTTCATGATGCATACCACTGTATATTAATCGAGGTAATCTAACAGTGGAGAAAAGATATTTTAACATCATTGTGACAAAAACTCGTCAAACTATTGAAAGAGCATTTGCGCTACTCTTTGGAAGATTTAGAAGATTAAAATATCTGGATATTGTCAGCCCAGGAAGACTCCCTCGTGCTGAGCTTGCAAAATCACAGTTCATCAATCCATGACAAGCTCAGCATTATGGTATCCCCGGTCTCCCGCCGTAACTCGCGGCTGGGCCATTTCCCGAAGAGAGGAATGTCGAAACTTTAAAACTCAAGAAATCTAATGTGACAATATGCAACGAACAGACTTAAAACCAGTAACCGTATTGTAATAACCCGAACCTGCCGCCGAATATTGCAAATGCGCACTCTGAACATAAGAAAACCGCGCAAATTCAAATGAATAATTTGGCCAATGATCGTGAACGTCTAGCAGGGTTAGGTCCTACGTGGTGTTACGTTAATATGGCGGCAGGCGGTTCAGATCTATAGCGAAGTGAGCAAACCAACGAGTGAGGGAAGAACACAGGTATAAAGACACATAAATTTTTAACGGGAGGGCGCCTTTAATGTTTAACGATTACACAATAAACGAGTTAAACACATCGCAGTTTGCAATTACAATTATTTTGCGACACATTTCGTCTTGTTTACAAAGTTTAATATCATTGTGTTCACAAATTGTGCGCAAGGGTCACTCGGTTTCTCCTTTTTGCTAACAAAATAACAAATACAGCAAAACGCCAGCACCGCGTCGGTCGCCATTTTACCTTTTCGTGAAGCGTCACAGGCTGTCTCTTTCTAACTAACGCAACAAACAATTACCCAATTACCCGGTATCCACCACCTAGCTACGCTAACCCAAAACAATGCTATTCACCCACGTTTTACGCCCGCCTTAAAATTAACCCTTCCGTTCCTAGCCCGCTTTGATACAACTTTCCGACACCTGACCGCGCGAACAACGAATTTATTATTATTATACCAACACCGCTTCCGCATGCATGCACACCTCTTACAATAATCCGCCTCTAACATCATATGTGATACGTCTAGCCTACCTATACGCCACCGATCTGGGTAAAGGGTTACTGCAGTTGGCGTCCTTTCGGCACTTAAGTCACAGTCGCCGTGCGGGCGCCGCACCAAATTCCACCGCACTGGATAGAAGATCGTTTATCCGTACACAGCACCCGTCACAAACGTTTCGGACAGTCTTTGGTTCCTATTTTCAAGGGAAAATTTCGGAAAAACGCACAAGAATCAAAGCCAATTATTTGTTCGATCCACACCCCTCAAGGTAGTACCTCGAACTGCCTTCTCCCTTCCTTTTTCACCCACTCATCTCGCATCCCTTGGTACGTCTCGTACCACCCAACAACAGATGGCGTGCCAAGTATCGTTCTCAGATTAATTCAGATGTTGCTTTGGCGCCGTATTGTTTTGATTCAAGTTTAAAGTCGGATATTTCAGTATTAGCATCATGCATATTGCACAATATTTGACACGAGGAGGGTAGAATAATAATGATATTATTAATATTTAATAATATTAATTTTCTTTCCCCTCCACATAAATGGCCTTGATTTTCAGATTCTACAGATACAGATACGGCTGTGAATTTGAAATAATACATAAAGGAGATCTCATATTTAAATTCTGCTATTAAAGTTGTTTAACCGACATTTGAATTAAGTAAAATATATATGCTACAGTAGGCCATGGTCTACACTTCTGTCATTAGTTTTTTTGTTTTAATCAGTCGGTTCTCAAAATGTCGTCAATTAGAGTTAGTGTAAGACAACGAATTTTGCAAATTTGGTTCGAACATTCTCAAAAATCTTTAAATTTAATAGCGAAAGAGGCTAATACGACGTGGTGGACGGTAATAATAATAGTATTTATTAACCACCTTACTATAATACATAAACAGTTTGTGGCAGGACTTAAATTCGGGGGTCCACAAATTAGGTTTTTAAAAACTAAAAAGCTTTATTACGACCGTTACACAAGTGCGACTAAGAGTGTGCTACAATGTAGAAAATACATATTTATATTGTTAAGAAATGCTGAGTCCGCCCGCCGTCTCGTCCTTGCATATAGGCCGGATGACCTAACTCCTCCCCAACGTAGAGGCGACTTCCAGGAGCTTATATAATGATGTCCTCCCTGGGATTACCGTGTGGACTATCAGCAGCTTGGTCATTTGTCCTGTGGGTAGAACATCTTCTTTTGACAACAACTCTTCCCAAAAAAAGGCAGAAACCCAGTGTAATTGCTACGTACAAAACGATTGTCCAAACATTTGGGTTTTGGAAATAATTTGTTACTCCGTCCGGGATTGTCTCCAACTGCTTTGTATGTAGTTCTAAAGCAGCTTCTATGTGTCGAAATTCATCTAGGTTAATAGATTCCAATTTAATCGATGCAAAATTTGAAGTTTGGTTAGAGAACCTGGTAGTGAAGTCCAAATGAGACAGAGCAATTACTTTGAACTCGGGAGAACTGGTTTGATAACTCTTTATTTTGAAGGGTCCTATGTTTACTTCACAAACGTCGTTCGCTTCTATCATATAAGTACCCAGTATTGGAACGTTGTCGGTGTTATGACCACACTGAACTGTGGCGATAGTTTTGTTCGGTGCTATCACGATCCATTTGTTTCTTTCCAACTTTCGAATCTCGGTACGACTTGCTTTTATATGAACATATCCGCAACCTTCGATGTCCTCGGAATATCATAGCAATCGAATCTCGCACGGAACGTTGTTGTCTATTTCGATTGGGTTGAATTCAGGGCACAGGTAGTCATCTACTGTTATTTCCTGGCATTCTTGGTTCGCAAAGATGTACTTTTGCTCATTTAGGAGTAGGTACTTTGATTGGGGTATGATCACACGGAATTTGCCATTTTTGATTGTGGGTAGTTTGTAAAGGTGATAATAATTGTAATTATTTTTTTCAACCAACGGAATTTTTACAACAAACACGATTTGATTATTTTTTATATAACTGTTAATATTTATAATTTTTTCAAATATCAAAATTTTTTGTAAAGTTGCTTCAAAAGGCAATTGTTTTTCATTATTCAGGTGGTTATTAATCAATTGTAATTCTTTAAGTAATTCATGAGGTTCTACGATAGAATTGTGAAAAGTATTTAATTTAGCGAATGTTACAACTACTTCGATTTTTTCTAAGATTTCAGTAATCATTTGATACGTTTCTATAATTTGAGAAATAAGCATCTGAAATAAAAAATATTCGTAAACTTCAATTTTTTTAGACTCAATTTTTGATAGAGTATTTTGAACCTCTAATATTTGTGACTCTAGATGACGTTCGTTTTGTGCCAAAATGCGGGTGTTTTCGAATTTTTGAATAGAATTGTGCCAAAGTGTAATTTGTTCTTTAATAAGTGTTTTGAATTTTCGTTGATTGTCAGAGAGAGTAGTAATTGCCTTATCGTATCTTTCTGCGTCGACCTGATCCAAATTTCCAGTTATGGATTTTATAATGGATCCTAATCCATCGATCAAGCCCCTTTTTGTCCGTTTATTAAATGTGCGATTAAGTTGATTAATTTGTAGTATTATTTTATCTTCGAGTAGTTTTATTAAGTGGTATGAATTATAACTTTCATTTTTATGTAAATTAAGTTTTTCGATTTTAGGCTTTAAAAGTTTAAATTGTTGGTGTAGCTTTGAAAACTCTTCTACTATTATCGTTATATCAAAAATTTGAATAAATGACCAAGAATCAATCATATTTTGGGCGTTGCCAATTTTAAGGGGTAGCAATCCGAGATTTTCATTTAGGTTATGGAATTTGAGTGGTTTGAGCCCATGGCAGACGATAATCTGAAAGAAGAGGAATTTTAA